GTGTTGTGTTTGGTGGTTGTGTTTGTGTGTGTGTGTGTGTGTGTATGTGTGTTGTGTGTGTGTGTGTGTATGTGTGATATGTATGTGTGTGTGTATGTGTGTGTGTGTGTGTGAGTGTGTGTGTGTGTGTGTGTGTATGTATGTGTGTGAGTGTGATGTGTACATGCATGTGTAGGCGGTCCATGCATAGAAAACCAGGGTCTCCCTCCGAACCTGAAGCTTGGCTTGTAGCTGGAAACAACAGGTACCCTGTCTCTATCCTCTACCTTACTGGGCATCTCCCCACCTCAGGAGGCCCTTCACCCACTGGGCCATCTCCTCAGTCCAACTTTAGTTCTTGATGCTATCTGCAGACCAAAAGCCAGCCAGTCATCCATTCTCTGCTCTTCATATCCCTCATCCTTCACCTAAGGAGACCGAGGCCTTAGGCTGTCAGGGAGGCAGTGACAGGACAGCATGGCAGCAGAGCAGCTAGTATGCAGAGGCACTCAGAGAATTGTGACTCTAGTCTTCTTCATCTGTCAGGGAGCCCATGCCTGTCCAGGCCCCTCCATCCAGACCATGCCAGCTGAATGTCCTGTGCTGCTCCCAAAGTCCAAATGGGCACCCTTACCATGCTCCCTGCAGCCACCTGCACATACCACACAGTCTGAAGAGTTGCTTCACGTCTGGCCATGTGAGTAGGTATTTGAAGATCTCATTCACACCGTCCACAGCCTTCCCATGGTGCATTGGCCAGGACTTGGTTATCACAGCGGACAGGAGAGTACCAAATTTCTGTAAATCCTGACAGGAGAGCCCCTCAAGGACACTTGTCTGAGACTATAAAGAGAATGGGTCAAAAAGGGAAACATAGCAATGTCTTATTAGTTTAAAATAAGAGAAATGAGAAAACTGGGTGTGGTGGTCCAAAACAATAATCCTAGCACTTGGGAAGGGCAGTAGTAGGCAAGCCTCAGCTACACAGAAAATACAAGGCCAGCCTGGGCTACCTGAGACCTTATCTTAAATGATTTTTTCAAAAATTGTCCTTGAAGGACTGGATGCAGGTAATGAACACTTATAAAAGAGGATCAAAAGCTCCTGTCTCTGTAGCTTTGATTCTCTCATAGACGTTTTGTTTGTGGTGGTAGACACATGCACTCTCTGTAGCTTTGATTCTCTCACAGATGTTTTGTTTGTGGTGGTAGACACAGGCACAAAGATGTCTCTGATAGTGAAAGCACACAGTCCAACAGGAAGTTCCATAGCTTCCATTCAGCTCCGTTCTAACTGTAGACAAGCTCGCTGCATTGTGTAGTCTTTGGGGTTCATTCATCTCAGTGTGTGGTTTTGTTGGGGGGCTTAAATTGTGACTTTCTTATGATATGGTTTTTCTCTTTATAGTTATCCTTTTAATAATACTTGGAATATATTCCAAATAGTTCAGAGAGACTAAAAAAAATGCTCACTGGGTTATAAACTAATGGCTAAATGCTTGCCTAGCATACATAAAGCCCTGGTTCGATGTTCAGCACCACCCAAAAAAAAAAAAAAGATAGAATAGAAATTTTGCTATTTCAGGCACAGTGGGTAAAGGTGCCTGCTGCCAAACCCAATATGAGTCCAATCCTTGGGACCCATGAGGAAGAAGGAGAGAACTAATCCCCTGAAGGATGTCCTCTGATCTCCATACAGGTATGCCCTGACATGGACATGCCCACCAATATATATAATAAGTTATATATATGATATACTAAGTTAATAAAAGTAGGAAGCCCTCTCGTCACACATGTGACCAGCAGAGGCTTGACAACTTGCTCAGGCAAGTCAGTAGGTACAGCACAATCTCTTCTCCACACGCAGACACCAGACCATTACCTCAGAATGGAAGGCCTCAGTAGAACTAAAGCTACAGAAGCTAGAGGGAACAGGTCAGTGAGTGTGCCTCATACACACACCATCCTTTTCTCAGTCTCTGCACAGGCAAGAATGAACAGAAAACAATGCAAACCAGCTCTGGCGCTCATAGGAGCGTGACTGAGGCTCAGCCTGCAAAGTGGCTGAGGCAAGGCTGTGTGAGCCCCTGTGAGGTTCTCAGCATGTAGCCCTGGATGGCCTGACACTTGCTACATAAACCAGGTTGGTCTTGAACTCAGAGACACCCTGCATGTGCCATCACACCTGGCCTAGTAGCTATGGTTTTGCATGGCATTTAACCGCCCAGGAAACAGCAAGCCAGATGAGAAGACTGGCTCTCTCAGCACATGGGTCTGGGCACCCCTGTAGGGGCTCAGGACAAGCAGGCCTCAGCAGCCTTTGCAAGCCATATCAGAAAACCCCTGTGAGCCCACACTGAAAACGCTAGTGACCTGGCAAGCTGAGCTCACGGCTTCAATGACACACTTCTCAAAGCTCCTGGCCACACTGTCATGGAGTCCGCCATCACGCCACTGACTGCTGCAGAAGACAGAGATCTGCACACGAGGCTGCTCCTGCAGAAAAGAAGGGAGGCGTGAGGGCTGTGTGTGCCTCAAGGAGGGAGATGTGAAGGCTGTGGGCTGCCTCACCAGGGAAACACCAGGTCTTCACGCCCCATGACTTGAGTCTCTCTGCACACACACTGACACATATCCGCAAGGGCCCCACTACCCAAGGAACAGGCCAAAGTCTCCGTAATGAGGCAGTGTGGCTCGCACCTCTGGTCCCAGTGCTTGAGAGGATTGCTGGGAGCTTGAAATTGGCCTATGACACAGAGTGAGACCCTGTCTCAAATATTCAAAAATTAAAGGCCTTTTGTGCCACTCTACAAAAGAAAACAAAAACAAAAACAAAAACACAAGCCTGGCAGCACTGGGGGCTGTGAAAGCAGAACAGGTAAATTTTGAAAAACAAGCCGTTTTCCTCCTCATCTGGTTCCCTATGATCTACTTAACAGGTTTGGATGAAACATTCACATCATGGAAAGTTGATTTTCTATGTCACCAGCCTTCATTCACACCAAAGAACATTTGTGTGTGTGGTTTTGTCCACCCCCCCTTTCATTGTTGTTTTTATTAACTGGTCAGTGTAGTGTCTGCATGTGTGTTTTCCCATACATGGTTGGGGTCCCCATCACGTCCCTGCTCTTGTAAGAACTTAGACATTCTTCTGAAGTCCAAAGACAGTGGGCAAGCCAGAAACACATGCCAAACTCATGATGCACCATTACCAGCCTTGTACTCAAGTGTGCCACACATAACTGTTGGGTATGTAAGGTGCCCGGTCTCCTCTGCGTGCTTTCACCTCCCAGGAAGAGAGCCCCAACCTCAGGTACCTGCTTGAGCCTCCCTTCCATGTCTCCCAGCAGTGATCCCTTCCAGCCGTACTCCCCCGGGAAGTCGATTTCTACCAGCCGTCGCCACATCTGCAAAATCAAAAAGTGACAACCACAGGGGTGACTTAATGCCACAGGGTGGAAGGATTAAGTGGGCAAGCAGGTGTGGTGTTACAGATCTGTGGTCCTAGGTAAACTGAGGAATGGGGAAACTGAGGCAGGAGGCAGGAGGGGTGTTGAAGTGCAGGAGTTCAAGGCTGGCCTGGACATCAGAGGAAGACCGTGTATCGAGCAAAAAGGAAGGGCCAGGCTATTTTGGCAGTATGAAGGGCTGAGGGCTCCAGGGCTCTCAGCTCTTCGTGTCACTGGTAAATCGTGCTAGTGGTAAGTCAGGGCAACACGACCCACGTTGGCCCATGTGATGCATGGTCACCACCATCCTTCCAGCTGGGTGACTGCTCGTGGCTTGGAAAAGGGTCTCCCCCTAGTATTCATCCTGAAAAGTTTCAAACAGACATGAAAGCACAAAGAACAGAAACGCTGTCTTCCACTAAGGCCCCTGGTTTTTATTTTTGAACACAGTGCTCTGTCTCTCAGCCACTGGGGGTGAGGCATAGGCATCACAACACCTGCTCCAACATGCCTGGGCAGGGCCTCTCTCTCCCTGGGAGATGAGCGTGGCGAGGACAGAAGACGTTGTGAGCTGTTGCTCTGCTCTGCTGTGCTGTGCCGTCTGGCTCCACAATCCAGTCACCACTTACACATTTCATGTAGTGGTCATGTTCTCTCTTCTAGAAAAGTACCTTTCACTCACTTATAACCCTGACGGCTTTGAAAAGGCTATCTCTTACTTTGTTGACAGGGTGATCATTTTAGAGGCTATCTCTTGATTGGGTGTAGTGGCACATGCCTTTAATCCCAGCACTCGGGAAGCAGAGACAGGAGGATTTCTGTGAGTAGGAGGCCAGCCTGGACTACAGGGCAGTTAGGATTATATTAAAGAGCCCTGCCTCAAGAAAACAAAGTGCCCACCCCCCAAAACCCAAAATCTTTTTACTTCATCTTTTTTGTTTGGTTTTGGTTTTTTGAGACAGGGTTTCCCCTGTGTAGATATGCTGGCCTCAAGCTCACAGAGATCTACCTGGTTTTGCCTCCTGAGTGCTGGAATTAAAGGCGTGCTGCGTTGCTGCCACCGCCACACCACACCACACCACACCACACCCCCTTCCTGACCTTTACTTCATCTTCTATAAAAATGTATTTCAAGTGCAGATTAGCTCACTTATGTACTGATGTAGAATTAGCTAATTAAAGAGCCTTTCAATGTATTCTTTTTAAAATACAGAATAACTTTAGCCTTGTCCGACAGCACTTCCTCTGTCCATGGGTTGACAAAGACTCTTCTGTACAGAAGGAACACTGTGGTTAGTCTTCAGGCCATGATCACAGCTCTGGGGACAGTAGTGATGGCTCCCAGTCCCTTAGGTCCACACCCTTGTATGTGTCTTTGGCAGCTTCTCAGCTCCCGGGAAGTCTTACCGCCATCTCCTCAGGATAGGTAAAGCGGACAGTGGCTATGCTGGTAAAGAACATGTTGTTTTTAAACAGTCTGCGCAGCCAGTGTCTTGTGGTACTCAGGGCCTCCTGAAAGATGTTTGTCACCAAGTCTTCATTATCTTTAGCAACCGACCCCTCTGTGGTACCCTGTGGGCACATGAGAAAGGGATTACAGAATCTGTGCTCATAATCAAGCCTGATGACCTAAGTTTGAGCCCCAGGACCCATAGAGTAGAAGGAGAGAACTGACTCTCACAAGGTGTCCTCATTTCCACACCCATGCCCATGGTGTAGTCTCTGTATGTCACTCAGTCTGTCTGTCTGTTTGTCTGTCTGTCTGTCTGTCTGTCTTTCTCTCACACACACACACACACATGCATGCACACATATTTATGTGCGTGCATGTATGTAATTCTGAAAAGAAAAAACAGGAAGGAATAATATTAAAATACACATTATTTAAACTGGGCAGTGGTGGCACAGGCCTTTATCTGTGAGTTCCAGGACAGCCAGGGCTACACAGAGAAGCCATCTCTTGAATATATATGTATATTAATTATCTCCTATCAGGATCAGAGCTCTGACTTGTGAAGGAAGTCAGTCCAAACAGATGTGCTCTAGCTCTTTCTGAGGCTCAGGAACCCAGATGAGTGGGTAACACTGAGCAATGAGTGAACTGCCCCAGCTGCACAAGGATGCATGAAGGAAGGAGACAAACAGGATGAAGATTTGAGGTGGCAGGAACCAGAATGCGGCTCCCTCCAGTGAGCACAGAGGCCCAGGAGCCTGGGAGCTGGGAGCTGATGAGGGTACATGGGCACTGGGCAGTCTCACAGGAATGGACTTGCTAAGTTGTCTAAGTATAAAGAAAAGGTTCCCCTGGGAAAAACCAGGAGTGAGCATGTGTGAGGAGGAGTGATGGACCCCGGTGTCTTCTGTGAACAATGGAAAGGAGGACCCTGACATGGTGGGGTCCTGGCCAGTGGACATCAGAAATGCCACCCATCACCAGACTCTCCCTCCAAACCAAGCCCCAAGACTGTCTCCACCTCAGAACAGAGCTCAGCTGGAGCAGGACCCCAGTAAATTCCTTGGTGGCTGAATCAGCCCAGAGCTAGTCTCCTTTGCTTTCAAACTGAAGCTGCAGGGAAGCCCATGACCTCCAATACACCATCACAGACTGTACTGTCTGCAGGAAGCCATGCCCTCCAATAGTCTCAGACTATACTGTCTGCAGGAAGCCATGCCTTTCAATACAGCATGACAGACTGTATTGTGTATACAGATGTGCAAATCTCACTTACCCCTGGAGGTTTGAGCTTAATCATTTTGCAGACAAGCTCAGCTGACAGGGCAGGAATCTCGTAGAACTTTCTGTCAGATGTCAGTTTACAGACAGTTTCGTGGAGGGTCAGACACTCAGTTAAGTATATCTGTAACAGGGTCTCCTCAAGTATCCTGTTCACAAAGAGTGGCAGAGAAATCATTGAAATAGTGGAGAAATGTGAAGAGGGAAGGGGAAACAAAAAGGTTATATTAAAAAAAAAATAAAAGAGCAAGCCCTTCGTGTGGGGTTTGTGCAGGAGCAAGTAGAGATTTGACTACATAGCATTCCTGTGGCTCTGGGTTCAATCTCAGTACTGCAAACGGGAAGAGCAGGGTGAGGTGGGCTGGAGAGAGAAAGCTCAGCAGTCAAGAACACTCGCTGCACTGTCGGAGGACCTGGAGGACGAGCCCCAGCGCCACAGCCTCGGTGACTCAGCTTATGTCAGCTCCAGGCTGAGGAAAAAGCAGAGAAGGACCTGACCACCAGTGCTCATCTCTCTCCACTTCCTGACTTCAGATGCAATGCAAGCCCTGCTTGTATTCCTGCTGCCAGTATGGACTGTGACCCCTGACAGTATAGACTGTGTCCCCTGACAGTATGGACTGTGCCCCCTGCCAGTATAGACTGTGTCCCCTGCCAGTATGGACTGTGTCCCCTGACAGTATGGACTGTGCCCCCTGCCAGTATAGACTGTGTCCCCTGCCAGTATGGACTGTGTCCCCTGACAGTATGGACTGTGCCCCCTGCCAGTATAGACTGTGTCCCCTGCCAGTATGGACTGTGTCCCCTGACAGTATGGACTGTGCCCCCTGCCAGTATAGACTGTGTCCCCTGCCAGTATGGACTGTGTCCCCTGACAGTATGGACTGTGCCCCCTGCCAGTATAGACTGTGTCCCCTGCCAGTATGGACTGTGTCCCCTGACAGTATGGACTGTGCCCCCTGCCAGTATAGACTGTGTCCCCTGCCAGTATGGACTGTGTCCCCTGACAGTATGGACTGTGCCCCCTGCCAGTATAGACTGTGTCCCCTGCCAGTATGGACTGTGTCCCCTGACAGTATGGACTGTGCCCCCTGCCAGTATAGACTGTGTCCCCTGCCAGTATGGACTGTGTCCCCTGACAGTATGGACTGTGCCCCCTGCCAGTATAGACTGTGTCCCCTGCCAGTATGGACTGTGTCCCCTGACAGTATGGACTGTGCCCCCTGCCAGTATAGACTGTGTCCCCTGCCAGTATGGACTGTGTCCCCTGACAGTATGGACTGTGCCCCCTGCCAGTATAGACTGTGTCCCCTGCCAGTATGGACTGTGTCCCCTGACAGTATGGACTGTGCCCCCTGCCAGTATAGACTGTGTCCCCTGCCAGTATGGACTGTGTCCCCTGACAGTATGGACTGTGCCCCCTGCCAGTATAGACTGTGTCCCCTGCCAGTATGGACTGTGTCCCCTGACAGTATGGACTGTGCCCCCTGCCAGTATAGACTGTGTCCCCTGCCAGTATGGACTGTGTCCCCTGACAGTATGGACTGTGCCCCCTGCCAGTATAGACTGTGTCCCCTGCCAGTATGGACTGTGTCCCCTGACAGTATGGACTGTGCCCCCTGCCAGTATAGACTGTGTCCCCTGCCAGTATGGACTGTGTCCCCTGACAGTATGGACTGTGCCCCCTGCCAGTATAGACTGTGTCCCCTGCCAGTATGGACTGTGTCCCCTGACAGTATGGACTGTGCCCCCTGCCAGTATAGACTGTGTCCCCTGCCAGTATGGACTGTGTCCCCTGACAGTATGGACTGTGCCCCCTGCCAGTATAGACTGTGTCCCCTGCCAGTATGGACTGTGTCCCCTGACAGTATGGACTGTGCCCCCTGCCAGTATAGACTGTGTCCCCTGCCAGTATGGACTGTGTCCCCTGACAGTATGGACTGTGCCCCCTGCCAGTATAGACTGTGTCCCCTGCCAGTATGGACTGTGTCCCCTGACAGTATGGACTGTGCCCCCTGCCAGTATAGACTGTGTCCCCTGCCAGTATGGACTGTGTCCCCTGACAGTATGGACTGTGCCCCCTGCCAGTATAGACTGTGTCCCCTGCCAGTATGGACTGTGTCCCCTGACAGTATGGACTGTGCCCCCTGCCAGTATAGACTGTGTCCCCTGCCAGTATGGACTGTGTCCCCTGACAGTATGGACTGTGCCCCCTGCCAGTATAGACTGTGTCCCCTGCCAGTATGGACTGTGTCCCCTGACAGTATGGACTGTGCCCCCTGCCAGTATAGACTGTGTCCCCTGCCAGTATGGACTGTGTCCCCTGACAGTATGGACTGTGCCCCCTGCCAGTATAGACTGTGTCCCCTGCCAGTATGGACTGTGTCCCCTGACAGTATGGACTGTGCCCCCTGCCAGTATAGACTGTGTCCCCTGCCAGTATGGACTGTGTCCCCTGACAGTATGGACTGTGCCCCCTGCCAGTATAGACTGTGTCCCCTGCCAGTATGGACTGTGTCCCCTGACAGTATGGACTGTGCCCCCTGCCAGTATAGACTGTGTCCCCTGCCAGTATGGACTGTGTCCCCTGACAGTATGGACTGTGCCCCCTGCCAGTATAGACTGTGTCCCCTGACAGGATGGACTGTGACCCCTGACAGTATAGACGGTGACCCCTGACAGTATAGACTGTGGCCCCTGACAGTATGGACTGTGACCCCTGACAGTATGGACTTGCCTCAAAGCACTATGGCCTGACTGTGCTCCTGACAGTGAGTCACAACACACCCTTCTCCAGCAGCCTTTGTCAGGGTCTTGTTACAGCAGTGGGAACAGTAAGACTTCTGATTTGTCTGCTCTGACTTGATTTGCTAATGGAACTCGGGGCTCAGATGTAACAGGTGCAGTGAAGGGAGGCACAGCAAGAGGGGGGCGTTGGTGGTGCATGCCTCTAATCCCAGCACTCGGGAGGCAGAGGCAGGAGGATGGCTGTGAGTTCAAGGCCAGCCTGCTCTAGAGTGAGCTCCAGGACAGCCAGGACTGTTACACAGAGAAACCCTGTCTTGAAAAAGAGGAGCAGGGGTGAGACCTCAGCAGCTGCAGCTGGACCAGACACTCAGTAGCTTGGAAAGCACGGTGTTAGTTCACAATCTCCCCAGTGAGACAGCACACGTGGGAAGCCGAGGCCAGCAAGGGGCAGCCACCACGCCTCCCAGAGCTGTATGGAAGCCAAGGCTGCCCTTAGCCGTCCTACTTACGTGTCCTGATATATGTCCACAAGGTGAATCAACATCTTAAACACGCACTCGATATCCTAAGACAGTGAAGAGAAGGCAGTGTGACCATGCCATGCCTGTGTGCACAGTGACAGACTTGGTCTTTCCTTCCTTCAACACAGCTACTCTTTGGAAGAACAGCTTCACACTAGTAAATACACAATACAAAATTACCACTTTGCATGTTCTGAACATGCCCACATGTGCGCCAGAAGCTGTCCGCCTTCCTTGGAGACAGTGTCCCTCATTGGCTTGCAAGGACCTACCCAGCTCCACTGCCCCCACTGTGGGGTGCAGTGCCAGCCTCAGTGTCCTTCACTTCCTGGTAGTTCCAGGGATTGAACTCAGATCCTTGTATGGCAAGCACTTTACCAAATGAACATCTTATCTTCCCAGTCCAACATAGCTAAAAAAGGGGTGGGGGGCACTGCTGTGAAACAGGCTCACACCCACACAGCTGTTCAGAACAATGAAAAGAGAACTCAAAAAGCTATTGGTTTCCCAAGTTCTATTTACTGAAGTGGAGTAAACTCAGGCAGATGAACCTTTGCCTGTAGGAAATGTTACCACATCTGCCAAAGGTTTAGATAAATCTTTCCTTCCTTCCCAGACCCCTCATTGCTCGTGGCACTGAGAGTGGGCCCTAGGCTTTCACTCATGAGAGCACCCCTACCACTCGCCACTCCCAAGACTGCCACAGTTAACCTGCTCTTGCTCAGCCAACACTTGCTGGTCGGCCCCACAACACACCTCTGTGTTTTGCTGGGAGACCTTCCCCAGCCCCCGAAGCCGGTATGAAACCCCTTGAAAGCAATCCAGGACGCGAGCAGGCACATGACTCAAGTACTCCATGGAGTTTTCCAAGTAGGAAGTCAGGTTTTCCAGAGGGACCACACTGAACCAGGAGCGGAAGAGGTGCTCGTCCAAGTATAGCAGGTCCATCCTAGGCTTCATGAACTTGAGGACATCACACCTGAGGAGAGACTGCAGCAGTCAGAACTGACAAGAAGGAAGACAACCAGGAAGATTGCAAAGCCTCACAGAAAACAGAAGTTGGTCGGGAATGGAATGAAAGCAAGGTGAGGAATTCCAAGGGTAAGCTGGCTACCCGACTGTTCCCTACAGACCATGAAGGAAGGGCTCTCTCCTTCAACCCACACTGAGATTGTGGTAGAACTGGGCATTGTTTCAAGTTTTGTGTGACCAGCCTGGTCTCCAGAGCGAGTTCCAGGACAGGCTCCAAAGCTACACAAAGAAACCCTGTCTTGAAAAACCAAAAAAAAAAAAAAACAAAACCAGAAAGAAACTTGCTGTGCAGGTCTGAGGACTGGGTTCAGATACACATAACAGACATATATGTAACAGACATACATGTAACAGACATATATACAAGCAGGTCTGGGGACCTGAGTTCAGATACATGTAACGGACATACATGTAACAGACATATATACGAGCAGGTATAGTCCCGGTGCTTCTGTGAGGAAATGGGACAGGAAAATGCCCAAAAATAATGTGCCAGCCACCTGGGCATAATAGTGAGAAAAGAAGAACAGAGACATGGGAGAAAGGACAGATACTGAAGGCTGTCCTCTGAGCCACACACGCAGACACACACACGCACACACATAGACACACACACACACAAGACATGCACAGACACACGCAGACACACAGATGCAGACACGCACACAGACACATGCAGACACACAGATGCAGACACACACACAGACACACAGATGCAGACATGCACACAGACACACGCAGACACACAGACACAGACATGAACACGAAATGACTGGGCAGAGACTGACAACAGGGGACTGGCTGCAGAGTGCACGGCCTGTGGATCTGGGATTGGCATCCTAAGTGTAGCTGTTCAACTCACTTAGTGAGTTCTTTGTCCCGAAAATGTGCAAAAGAGATTCCTTCAAGGCCTGCCCAGGTGTCCTCGGGCAGGCTCTTCGAGTCCTTCCTGGGTGGAGACAGCTGCTGCGTGCAGTGGTGCAGGACAGGTAAAGTGCCCAGCCAGCGTTCAACCCCATCAGTTATGCACCTGTGGCAGAGGCCGATCAAGTACACACACCACCTGGAAGGGAGCGGAGCTGTCAGCAAGGGGACGGTGGCCCAGTGGTCTATGAGCACAAGGAACACTGTGCATGACTGGAGCTATCACAAAAAACCTAGAGCAACCTCACGAATGCCCCGGCAGATTCCCGCTAGAGTCATCTCTTGTCTACCACACAGCTGAGGAATACCTTTTACAAATGTGTACCGATTGCTTGGTATCGAAAACATGAAGCCAAAGGGCTGGTGCCCAATAAGAGCTGCTCAGGAGCCTGAATCTCACCAGTCACAAACAATGCTGTGAAAAGCCCAAGGCAAGATCACTAGACTCAAAGAGGTCACCTCCAAACTTGCTGTGACCCAGCAGTGATAACACACTTTCTAGTCGAGGTGGCCTCTAGTCCCTGAGGATTCCAGATACTGAGACACATGTGTGGGAGCACTCAAAACTTTTCTTATACTGTGTACGTTTATTCCTTCACTGCAACACACACAGTTTGGCCTCAAATTCAAGGGCTCAAAGGATTCTCCCACCTTAGCCTGCCAAGTACCTGGGACTACAGACCTGCACCGCCACCCACAGCTCCATGAGCAGGTGTGGTGGCTCACACCACAACCCAGCACTCAGCAAGCTGAGGGCAGAAATCTCATGAGTCGGGCTGCTTGGGTTACATAGTGAAACTATCACAAAAAACCAGTAGTGATAAGGGGACCGGAGAGATGCTCGTGGAGAAGACCCGGGTTCAGTTCCCAGTACCCACGTGTGGCTCACAACCCTCTGTGACTCTCCAGCTGCAGGAGATCCTACTCCTTCTGGCCTCCACATGCAACCAGGCACACATGCATGTGCAACACCCACACACGTGAGACAGAAAATAGAGCAAAAGAAACAAGAAATACTTCTGGGGTTTGCTGACGATGGGACTCAGGTCGCTGAGAAGGGCGTCCAGCGAGCCAGCACTAGGGGTGAGGAGGTAGCACAGCCAGACCAGGTCATTTTTAGAGACAACAAAGTCAACTGCTTCCATCATGAAAAGGACGGTCAGGCCCAGCTTCAGTTTACTCCCCACAGGGCAGTCGGCAGGCAGGGCGTCCCCACTCTTCCCTTCCAGGAAGGGTTGCATCTGTTTCCTCACGTGCTCCCACAGGTTCATCCTCACCTGGTCCAGGAGGGAAAGACGCAGTGAGCTCTGCAGGGTGCATTCAGAGGCTAAGGGGAGGGAGGCGCTCACTTGCCTGTCTCCTGCGCTATACCACTGAAGCACACAGATGCTCAGTCCTCAGCCCCTTGGGGTGGGAGTATAGGAGATGGTATCCTAGAGACAGCCACACCTCAGTGTGGGGTATAAGGAGGCTCCCACCCCTTTTGGGAGAGCTCACAACCATTGCTGGGGCAGGGCACAGAGGAACTCCTTTAGGAGGGTGGCATGAGGTCCTCCTCAGGTCCCTCATCTGTTCTTGGCCCACTCACTCCAGGGGTCACGTGGCCTCTAGCTGGTCGAGGGACACTTCCTGCCTCCGCCAGAGCTGCTGGTGAAAGCGGGGAACGGGTACCTCTTTCTCCTCGTACTGCAGACTGGACCATGTCCTTGCCTGGCCTTCGTGGACCTTAGGCACTCGGACCACAGAATAAAACTGCTTGAACTGGGTCATAAAACTCTGCAGGTTGACGGCGCTCCAGGGCTGGAGGACACTGAAGATGCGGCCCAGCATGACCACAGCGGCATTCTTCTTTCCTTTCACCAGGTCCCTTCTCGTGCCATCAGTGAAAGTATTCCAAACTCTCTGGAACTTCCCAGGAGGCTTCATGCAGATTATGTCATCATACTGATGCCAGTCTGAGGGAAAAAGAACCTCATATGGGTGAACTCCAAAATCCCCAGAGGCCTGACCTCCCCTAGGAGGCAGAAATGTAGGAGCAGCAGCCTAAAGTAATCAACCCACTCTATCAGCTAGCACAGGGTGTGCCAGTGCAGCCAGAGTCGGGCAGTCATGGGCAGCCTGGGCTGGAAGAGTGCTGCCAGCATGCCTAAAGCCCTGGGCTGGGATGCAGATCACTGAAGAGTGCTGCCAGCATGTCTAAAGGCCTGGGCTGGGATGCAGATCACTGAAGAGTGCTGCCAGTGTGTGTGAAGGCCTGGGCTGGGATGCAGATCACTGAAGAGTGCTGCCAGTGTGTGTGAAGGCCTGGGCTGGGATGCAGATCACTGAAGAGTGCTGCCAGTGTGTGTGAAGGCCTGGGCTGGGATGCAGATCACTGAAGAGTGCTGCCAGCATGTCTAAAGGCCTGGGTTAGGCCTCCAGCAACACATAAACATGGAGGGAAGAGCACACCTGCAATCCCAGTAATTGACAGGTGTCACAGAGGCGGCAGGATCAGGAATGTAGGGTTACCTTGCCTATACAACCAAGGCAAGCCTAAGCAACGTGAAACCCAGTCTTTAAAAAAGAAAAAAAGGGAGGATGGGAGGGCGACAGAATGGGGGGATTGATATGTAAAATAAGATTGTTTCTAAAATAAAATAAAAATAAATAAACAAAAAACAACAACAACAAAGCTGGAGTAATGACTCAGTAGTTAAGGACACGAGACAGGGTTTCTCTGTGTAGCTTTGGAGCCTATCCTGGCACTTGCTCTGGAGAACAAGCTGGCCTCAAACTCACAGAGATCTGCCTGCTTCTACCTCCCGAGTGCTGGGATTAAAGGCATGCGCCACCAACACCCGGCGCTGGCTGCTCTTGTGACAGCCTGTGGTTGTTTCTAGCACCCATATGGTGGCTCACAACAGCCTGTAAATGCAAGTTCTAGGGCATCTGACACCCTCTCCCGGCTTCTAGGTACATACAATGGAGAACGTAAATGTACATGTGTGGGGAGCCAAGACTTTCTCAGAGGCCCTGAAAAAAAGACAAAGGGAAGTTTACTTCTATGTCCCTGTCCAGAGGTGGACTTAGCAAAGCCGGTCTAACCAGCACCTCGAAAGAGCCAAGGTTGAGGTTTCTGGGGTCCCAACTCTTCTTCGGGCTGTGGTGTCAGTCCTTAGGCAACTGTATCTGAGGAATACTGTGTTCTCTTTGCCAACATTGTCTGATTTAGCTCTGATGAAAAATTTCCCCCTGCAAATAGTATATAGGTACTCACACATACACATAAAATAAAAACTTCTGTCTTTAAATTTTATTTTTTTTTTTCAAGACTGGGTTTCTCTGTGGGATAGTCCTGGCTGTCCTGGAACTCGCTTTGTAGACCAGGCTGACCTAGAAGTCACTGAGATCTGCCTGCCCCTGCCTTCCAAGGGCTGGAATTAAAAGTGTAAACCACCACCACCAGCTTAAATTAAAAATTAAAGACCAGTTTGGGTAACATAGTTAAATCCTGCCTTTAAGAATGTGATGGTAGCCCAGTGTTGGTGATGCACACCTTTAATCCCAGCACTCAGGAGGCAGAGGCAGGTGGATCTCTGTGAGTTTGAGACCAGCCTGGTCTAAGACAGCTAGTGCTAGGACAGCCTCCAAAGCCACAGAGAAACCCTGTCTCGAAAAACTAGAAGAAAAAATAAAGTGTGAAGGGATTGGACTGGAGAGATGGCTCAGCATTTAAGAGCACTGGCTCCTCTTCCAAAGGACCTGGGTTCAATTCCCAGCACCCACATGGCAGCTCACAACTGTCTGTAACTCCAGTTCCAGGTGATCCAACACCTTCCACAGACAGTGGAGTTGATATGTCCCTGCTGCCACACCTGGTGAGTTGTCCTCTGACCTCTAAGCATGCCATGGCATGTGCACGCGCGCGCGTGCACACACACACACACACACACACACACACAAATAAATGTAATAAAATACTTTTAAAGCTATGTCAATGCTAAGTCCCTTGGTTCCATCCCTCAACACTGGGAAACAAAGTCTACACTGAGCAAAGGCACCAGGACTCTGAAGTGACAGCGCAGGGCGTCCACCTGTCTCTCCCAGGTCTTCAGCTGCTTCAATTACTAAAACAACATACAAAGAGGGAAGGACCCTTTCACGACTCTGGCCTCTGACGGGACAAGAGGTGAACGTGGCACGTGCCTGGGCAGTTCCTCAACAGTGTGACCATGGAAGGAGGACACGGGGCTGTGAACCCAGGCTGACAAGGCCAGCGAGCAGCAGGACACAGGGGGACCAGGGTGCCCTTCCAAACAAATGGAAAGAGGGAGAGATGCAGAGGATGGAAAAGACGCTTGTCCCTTCTCTTAAATGTCACTGTCAAAGCCAAGCCACTGCCTCTCGCGCCCACTCAGTCACCCTCCATCCCAGCCAGCCCTTGATCCAGCTCCTTGACAGAAGACTTTCACCTGGTTCCTTCACGCAGCAGAAGGGCTAGGTCAAACTCACTTCCAAAGGCAGCATTACTCAACACCAAGGCAAAGGCCGGGCCAGTGCCTAGCAACCCCCACACCTGTTCCCTACGGACCCACTCAGGCACCTCGGTGACCTACCTCTGGTCTCCAAGAGTGCAGACTCCACCAACAGGCTGCGGTTCACATGCTCCCCTTTCTTCTGTGGCTGCTCATAGATGAATTCATACTCAGCGGTATCCTTGCTACCACTACCACCACGGTGAATGACATACTTGTAAGGGATGGGCTTGTCCAGGCTCTGCCTGGGAATGACCATGCTGCCCTCGACGAGAGACCCGAGCTCATTTAGGTCTCTGTGGAGGAACATAATATGCCATTTACCAGGGGACACATGTCATAAAGCCCAGCCCCAGCCCATGTCATAATGCTTTTACAAAAGAGCCACAGTAAGAAGAAATGCATGCTAGAGACACACTGACACAGGCATTTTCAGGCTGGGCATTGGTAGTGCATGCCTTTAATCCCAGCATTCATGAGGCAGAGGCAGGTGGATCTGTGAGGTCTACAGAGAAAGTTCCAGGACAGCCAGGGCTACAGAGAGAAAACCTGTCTCAAAAAATGAACAGGCTGGAGAGATGGCTCAGTGGTTAAGAGCACTGATTGCTCTTTTAGAGGACCTGAGTTCAGCACCCACATGACAGCTCACACTTGTCTGTAACTCCAAGATCTGACACTCTCACACAGACATATGTGCAAGCAAAACACCAATGCAAATAAAATAAAAATAAATTATGTTTAAAAAAAAAAGCACTGGCTGCTCTTCCAGAGGTCCTGAGTTCAATTCCCAGCCACCACATGGTGGCTCACAACTATCCATAATGAGATCTGGTGCCCTCTTCTGGCCTGCAGGCAGACACACAGAAAGAACATTGTGTGCATAATAAATAAATCTAAATGAACAACATCAAAGAAAAAACCGACTCAATTTCCACCAATCGTGGAAGTACACGCCTCTAAGGCTGACGAGGCAGGAGAATTGCTATGAATTCCAAGCCAGCCAGTGAGCCCCTATTTCAAACAAACAAACCAAAACAGGAGGAAGAAAGAAAGAAAAAGCAAAGGAAGAAAAGTAAGGAAGGATAGAGTGTGCCCAACTGCTTTGGTCACATGACTAATGACAAGGACAGCTCCAAGCACTGGGCATACTCACTTGGTGTAGTTCATCTCGCAAGCATCAGACCAGGCTTTCCTCCCGAGGCCCTCTCCCCCTCTGACACACACTCTGTGGTTGTCAGGGTTGAATGCGAAGTCACGGGAGACAATGGCGTGGAAGTACACGGTGACTCCATCCCCTGGGCTAAGTGTTCTGGGGAGAGTGAGAAGGAAACCCTAGCTGCGGAATTGTGCACACATGCAGGAATAAGCACATAAGCACACAGCATCCGCACTGCTCAGATGTGTGTCGACTCCCCTAAGTGCTAAGTGCTCGGCATCCAGTTCAGACACAGTGCCCCCAGCAGGCTGCTGCTTCTCCGCAGCTAGCTGGAGGACACCCAGCTCCAACATGTTAGGTGCTGGATAGTGGGGGGTGGAGTGGGCTAGGAGTCTGGACAGTGGTGAGAGCATCTTAGGATCACATTGACTGAGGTACCCAGGGACCAACAAAAACAAATTTGGGACAGGTGTCCCAGGTGGTTCCACCCAGAGCTGGGACACAGGCTCGTTGCAAGGGGCCATGTCCCACCTCCTTGTAGCCTCTGGTGCAGCAGCCTTCTGGTTTCTCTCCTCCTTTTTGTTTTTCAAAGCTGCCGCATAATTTCTGTTCTCTTCTGGCTTCTTCTGGTCTTCCGGCTGGGTGTTCTTCCCAGTGTCAGTCAACCTGCCTTTGAGTTCAGCTTCCTGGAACAAGCAGTTAAATCGCAGTGCTCAATACATGTCTCACAGCAGCCAGGGCCAAAGCTGTCCTTGCTCAGAACCAGGCAGGGTCTTCTGGTTGGATTGCCGTGACCTGCAGGAGCCCCTCTTCAGCCTGTCCACGGCCTCCCCACCCTCACCAGCGTCCTTGTTCTCTGAGACCCGGCCCACCATGTTCTACCTTAGGGCCCTGGCACATGCCATTTCCTGTCAGGCACTTTCTGTGTCTATGGCTAAACCCTCACTCCTGGTTTCTACTCACAGCACCACCCAAGAGGAGGCATCCACCTCTCTCACGACCCTTCAGGACCCTTCACATGTTTCCTCAGGGAACTTCTTCCTTCCTGCCTCTCTCTAGCTCATCAAGAGATGGCAGGCTTATGAAGGGACCACTGAGGCAAACAAAAAAGAGCCCTGAATACTGGACACCTCCTGGCAGATCAAGCCTCTACCTGGTGTTGGTGCTTGGAGGGAGCAGGACTCACAGGGGACAGCTTCTGTTTCTGAGCATTGTCTCTTGTTTCTTTCCCATCCGTCCTCTCTGGCTTCGCTGCCTTGGCTGTCGCATCAATTGGCTGGAAGAAACAGATCACCCAAACCCAGAGTCATAGTGACAAAGTGAACTACTGACTGTGGCTTGAGTCAGCACCAGCCACAAGGAGAGTAACTGAGAGGGGGACAAGACATGCCCACCTCCGTGCCCCCATTCCGGGCTGCTCACCTCTGAGGCAGCCAGCTCTGCAGTCAGGGACACCTCTTCCTTGTGCTCAGACTTCTCCCCCTTAGATTCAGGTAATGGGGCCCTCTGGGATGCATCAGTATCCTTACAGGGGCCTTTGGAGGCAGAAAGGGCTGGGCCACAGTCCCCCTCTGGGGGCAGGCCCTTGTCCACTGAGGGCTTAGAGGTGTTGAGGTCCTTAACTCCTGTGTGGTTACTGGGGACAGGGTCCCTCTGAGCCCCTCCTTGTGGGCCACTATCTGTGCCTTTCACAGTGTGACCCTGCAGAGGGGAGCTGTTGCCTTCAGCAAGCACAGACCCACCCTCCTCCATCGGCATATGCAGTGTGGCCAGTGACTGGCCGGGCTGGCTGCCCACACCACCCTGCTGCTGGGCTTGGTTCTGGGGCAAGGCCGAGTCCTGGGATCCAAGGCTTGAAGGTGTATCCAGACTCCAGAGGCCAGAAGTGGGAGACAAGGAACCTGCCTCTGAGGAAGAGTTGGTGATCTGGCTCTTCCTCCTTCTCTTCTCCTTTTTACTCTAAAGGGAGAGAAGTTTGTTTACTCCTTAGACTCTGTACCCCAGCACTTCCCTCCAAGTTCCCGTCCACACCCTCTAGAGGTGGAGCTGGCTGTCCACAGCATGCCTCAGACCCATCACACCTACAGCTCCTTATTTTATTATTTCTGTCTATGAGAATTTTGCCTACATGTATGCTGGGGCCAGAGGTGAAGCCTCCTCCACATGGGTGCTGGGATTCGAACAGGGCTCTCTGCAAGAACAAGTGCTCTTAACCACTGGGCAGACTTCTTTAGCTTGGGCAGAATGTTGTAACTGAACAAAGGGAGAGGGAGGGTGGTGGAGCTGAGGAACAAGTGACAGGCAGGGCCACACACTTCCTTCCACCAGAGCCTGAGCCTTTTGAACGGCAGTGACATTCACAGGCTTTCCACACCGGACACCTTGGCGTTGCATGGCGTAAAATGGCAGTGAATTAAAGGACGAGCGAGAGTGGGAAGCAGAAGCAGTTACTCCCTGGCTAACCGAGTGACTGGCCAGGCCCCCAGGTTCAGAATGCCATGCCCTGGAAGGCGATGGAGACCCTGTGCCTCAGGAAGGCGATGGAGACCCTGAACCCCAGTGGTATGTGACGAGGCCCTACCATAGACCAACAGCTGCAGCGGCTGGAAAAAAAAGGAAACAAAAACCTGGGGTGCATCTACACCTGGGGTGAATCTTCCCCAGAACCCCAAGTGAGCCTGCAGACAGCAGACAGGCACCTCGGACACTTTAAAGGGTGAATTCTTGGCCTGAGAACCAGCATCCACAACTATGTGTTACAAGACAGAAAGCTGAATCTGAAGATGGAGCTCAGACAATGAAGCATTTGTTTAACATTTGTTTAAAATACACAAGGCAGAAGTGCCAACTTGTACCGCCACTTTGGAAATCAGCATGGCAGTTCCTAAGGAAAATGGGAATCAGTCTACCACAAGATCAAGCAGTTCCACTCTTAGGCATATACCCAAAAGAAGCACATTCCTACAACAAGGACATCTGTTCAACCATGTTCATAGCAGCACTATTTGTAATCGCCAGAAACTGGAAGCAGCTGAAGAACGGATAGAGAAAATGTGGAACATTTACACAATGCAGTACTACTAAGCAGCTGGACCCAGGAGGCTGGCCTAAGAGACAGGACCGTGTGCCTGCTTGGTTTTTCACTCAGCCCTGAAGACCCTTCTCTGCTCCGGCATCTTCCCAGATATCCTTTGAGCCAACTGGCACAAGCTCAGCCTTGTTCTGGACTGGGTTCCTGGACGCGCCATGGGGTGCACGCCCGATCAGCCTTTCAAAGACTACTTTCCTCATTGTACAGGCCCTGTGAGATGAGCCCTGGTACTGAAGTGTCTGCAAGTGGGATAAATGCCACCCAGTGGTGTCCCTAAGACAAATGTTAGCTCTGAGGCACAGATGGGCCAGTTACCAGACAGGAGGGGGCACAGGGAGCAGTGGACAGGTCTCCTGGCCACAGAGTTTCCTGTAGGCCCCACTGACAACCTTCACATGGTCAGAGAAACCTGGTGAGTGACCCAAAGAAGACACTGTGATGGCCCAGTCCAGTTCATGCCTCAAGTCTGAGTGAGGATCTGGGTTTAAGGGACCTGAGTTCCCACCCAGCTCATGACAAGACAGCCAGGTGACCCTAGAGGGTTTACCAACCCACCATGTGCCTTAGTTAAGTGGAGACAGATGTCCCTCTGTCCTAGGGTCATCATGAAGGTGAACAAATAGAACAAAGCAGGTCTAGAATTGTAGAGGGCACAAGCAAGGTGGCATCTTGTGGCTATGACCAGTTATCAATGGAGAGGTCTTGGAGGCTCTTTGCAAGCACTACAGGAAATTGTGTCCATGTTCCCTTCTGCCTCCCTCCTCCCACACCTGCCTCCGTGCTCCCACACCTATGTCCGTGCTCCCGGCCCTGCAGTGCAGGGAACTGGGCCCTGCTCTCTCTTTGACATGAGCATTTGTGGGTTATGAGCTTGCGACACTGGTTCCTATGGCATGGAGAGGTGTTCCACCAAACCCCATCTCAGCTCATGAGAAGATCCTCTTGTTCCCTGAACAGTGCATGGCAGGTAGGCTGCTGCAGAAGCCGTGACACAGGGGACAGGCCCAGAGTGGCTCAACACAAATATTGGAAGACTAAGAGGCATTGAACACCAGGAGTCAGAGCAGAGAGAGCCATACAGGGACCCTTGGTCTCAGCACCTGGATCAAGTCTCACCTCAGGATTTACCGGTGATGTGAGCAACAAAGTCCCTTCAACCAGTTCCTGCTGGCTACTCAGTGGTTTGCAACCAAGAGATTTCCAATGGTTCAAACAGTCAACCCTCACATCAGGTTGTCCCCTTACCTAAGTCACTGTCCGGCTGAGGACACAAATGTCCAACTCTTACCGACAAACACGCAGCGCACAAGGCCCCTCATGGCATCAGCTGCCTGACCGCCAGACACCTTAGATTAATTAGAACAGCCACCTCAATTCCAAGCTAAGACCCTGCCTGGTCAACCTCCTCAGTAACAGTAGTCACACCCAGGTGTGGCTCAGCTCACCAGCCTTCCTCAGCTGTCTGAGGAAGCTGTCTTCAGGCACTTGCAGAGTGTGGTTGGTGACTCAGGAGCACAGAGTCTGGGGACAAGGGTACGGTGATTGTACAACTGTGTTCTCAAGCTACCTGCTCAGCATCCATGACCTCAAACCCGGCTGTCTCCTTCTTCTTCTTCTTGCTGGGAGGGCACTGAGCACCTTCGGGGCCACCAGCTGTGTCCTCTGAAGCATCTACAAAAACCTCTGGGTCCACTTCCTGTTGAGACACGACCCCTTCACACAGGGAGGGTTACCCACTGCTCTGCTCCTGCAAGATCCTCAGGAACCTCCATCTCAGTAAAGGCCCCGGAGGGCCACCTCCTTACAAGAAACAAGCCGGCTCTCCAGCACCTTTGACAGTCTAGGGCCAATGACAGAAGGTGTGGGGACACTAGGGAAGGGCACCGTGGGTGTTCGGAACAAGTCTGCCATGGTGCACTGGTGGGCAGGTGCTCCAACATTCACTGCCAGCAAGCTTGAGTCTGGTCCCAAAGGCTTTTGTCTGCTTCACACGGAATACTTCGGGGATACCAGGTGGCTAGGTCACCAGGCCTCCAGAGTCTGGCCTTTCAGCAGACACAAAGATCCTGTACCTCCCTCCCAGCCAGCAACCACTACCTCACACCCAACAGCCTGGAAGGAAGCACAGTAGGGCTCTCCCACACACCGCACCGGCACCTGCCCTTCCCGCAATACATACAAACCCACCAGCCCGAGAGGAAGCAAAAACTCAGCAAAGAGTGCCCTGTTAGTTAGCATGGAGAAGCTACCACAGAAAAGTCAGAGTGGAAGCAGGTCACTGAAAGGTTTCCATAGGCGCTATTAAGTCTCTGCCAGTACAGCAAACCAAACCAAGTGGAATTAAGAATTAAAAGTCGGCCTTTAGTCCCAGCACTTGGGAGGCAGAGGCAGACAGATCTCTGTGAGTTCAAGGCCAGCCTGGTCTACAGAGTGAGTTCCAGGACAGGCTTCAAAGCTACAGAGAGAAACCGTCTCAAAAAATAAAAAAATAATAATAAATAAAAAATTTTAAAGTCTGGGTTCAATGAGTAAAATGCTCCCGGATGGTCGTCAAGCCCCCAGAGGTGGCAGGGAGAAGGAACCAGGAAATCACATGGTGGCCATTTAAATACTCTGTAGGTGGAGTATTGAGCATCTCTCAGGGAGGAGCCACACGGTTCTTGGTAAGGTTTGGAGTTGGGGGGGGGGAGAGAGACAGGTGGAGCTCCAAGCAAACAGTCACCTCCTGCCTCCCACTGGCTCCAGTAGCTCTGAAGACCCCCCTCTCCCTCCCAGCATGGAAAGGTCAGTGGTGCTGGGATGTGGCTGCACAGTGACTCCCAATCTTGGCTTCTGCAGCCATTTCTCCTGGCACCTGCCTCAATGCCCAGGGAGAGGCATCACCCTGCACTTACAGCCAATCTTTGAAATGCACTTGCAGATGAAGGACCAGTTTGTTGGAACACACGCAAAAAGCCTCACAAGCCAGTCACAAGCCGACACCATTAGCAGTCACGAATGCGCTTTCCACCCATGCATTTCAGGCACGTGTTAGTTTTAGAGCTTTTTTAAAGATTTTGTTTTGTTTTTTCATTGTGAATATGCGTCTCTGCCCATGGGGGGGGTGGGTGCAGGTGACGGCAAAGGCAGAAGAGGGCGTCTGATCCCCTGGAGTAGGAGTGCTGAGTGGATAGGTGATGGGTTCTCTGGAAGAACAGCCGGTGCTCTTAACTGCCAAGCACATTCATCTCTCCAGCCCCCAATCCATTTCAAAGTGACCAATTCCAGCCAGGAGGTAGTGGTGCACTCACACCTTTAATCCCAGCACTTGTGAGTCAGAGGCAGGCAGATCTCTGTGAGTTCGAGGCCAGCCTGGTCTACAGAGTGAGCTCCAAGACAGCCAGGGCTGTTACAGAGTATAACCCTGACTCAAAGAACCAAAAAAAAAAAAGTACCAATTCCATGATATTCAGCAGTCATGATGTTATTGGTGGCCTCTGTCTAATAGGTGCCCAATTTCCTCACCCCAAAGGTGCAACTCCTACTAAACCATCCCCTCCCCTCCCCTTTCCCAGACACAGTCAACACTAATCCCTCTTCCTGAGGGCATGCCTATTTCATAGTCCACACCCCTGGAACCATGCAGTCAGAGCGTTGCTACATACATGCTGTTTTATTGTTGGTGCTTGAATCCAGGGTCTTGCGTGTGTTTGCAGCACTCAGCCCTAAGCTGCACCTCCAGCCTGGGTTTGTTCTCTCATTTGGATAACCCATCCCACCGCCTTTGGAACACCATGCTGTCTGGCTAACAGTCCCTCAGATGTGGCAGGTTGCTCCTGGACTGCTTCAACATTCTCTCTGAGTCTGGTTTTTGTTGGTTTGGTCATAATGCGTCCTGAAGGGGATGTCTCTTTGTTCATCATATTCGGCATGGATGAGCTGACCGATTTTTAAATTTTAATTTATTATGACTACTGTTATTATTACTATTATTTTATGTATATGGGAGTTTTAGCTGCATGTATGTATGTGCACACGCATGCCTTGTACCCATGGAGGCCAAAAGAGGGTGTCCAATTCCCTAGAACTGAAGTTACAGACAGTTGTGAGTCACCATGTGGGTGCTAGGTTTTGAACCTGGGTCCTCTGGATGAGCAGCCAGTGCTCATAACAGCTGAGCCATCTCTCCAGCCACCAGACTGATGTGTTTGTTTTGTGTTGTTTTTCTGAGACAAGGCCTCACTTTGTAGCCCTGTAGACTAGGATGGCCTCAGACTCACAGAGAGCTGCCTGTCTCTGCCTCTCCAGTGCTGGGATTAAAGGTGTGCAGCCATGCTGTACCTTTGGTTTGGTTTGCTTTTGGCACAGTCTTACTCTGTTACTGTGTACCTGGGGCTGACCTGGAACTCACCAAACACTGCAATGACAGGATGCTAGGCATATCCACCACACCCAGCTGCTAGGGGTCTGTGGTTGGGGGGCTTTGGAGAGGAGGTTGAGACACAGTCTCACTGTAGCCCAGGTTGGCCTCAAACTTACTATTGAAGGCAAGACTAGCCTTGAATGCTCTGTCCTCCTGCCTCTGCCTCCTGAGAGCTGAGATCACAGGTAGGCGCCACCAGCACACCCAGGCCACAGTTTTCCCAAGCTGCACTTCATGCATACTGTCATATTGAGGGTTTTTAGTTATTTCAAGACTTTTTCTGATGACAAATACACAGCCTTTGGTTTGGACCTTTCCCTTTCCTAGCTAGGAGATCATTCATCTATTTTTTTTTTATTTTGGTTTTTCGAGACAGGGTTTCTCTGTGTAGCTTTGGAGCCTATCCTGGCACTCGCTCTGGAGACCAGGCTGGCCTCGAACTCACAGAGATTCGCCTGCCTCTGCCTCCCGAGTGCTGAGATTAAAGGTGTGCACCATCAAAGCCCGGCTATCATTCATCTGTGCTGTCTTCTCTGTCATCTGGTAAGAGCAGAACTTACCAGTTCTTGTTTTGTGACTAAGAGCAGACCAACCCAGGAACCAATGCAATCACTTCAGGAACCGGCTTGAGGTGGAGCGGAGGGTGTAAGAACAGAGAGCTGGCTGGCTGAAGCCCGTGTGGCTCACTCACCATTTGGATGGTCCAGGAGGCATCAGACTCAGACTCCTCTGGGGTTTCCAGTTCCTTACTGGAGCCTGGGACCTCCTCCTCTGTCAACACTTGTCCCAGATCAGTCTTCTCCTCTGAGCTTGATGCCACCAGGAAGGCATTGTTGTTCTCAGAATCTGCAGGGGTGGGGCGGTGGGGGGGGTGAAGGTTAGGATCACACCAGGGAAGAGCAGCAAGTTCCAGGAAGGGCAAACAGAACCCCCTCACACCCACCGGTATCTGCCGAGAGACCGGCTTCTCTGAGGCCTTGCCTGTTGTATCTGCTCCCAGCCTTGCAAGGCAAGACCAGGGATTGCAGAACCAGGGGGACAAATAAGATGGAAAAAACAAACAAACTGGATGACTTGAACGCCCACCCAGTGGGTTTCCCAAAGCATGCAGGGTGCCCGAAGTAGAATTTGTTCCCCTTCCCCCCACCAGAACCCCCCCAGCCTTTCTTTAGGTGGGCACCCTAGTCCAAGCACCCTGCCCAGCAATAGCTTGTGGATCCCTGCTTTGCATATCTTGGGAGATGACACCCAGAACACCTTCAACATAACTAGCAAGACCACCCACAAAATGTCCATGGAACCCTACACAGAGTGACCGATGGCTAAGTAAGGATCAGTTTGACCAGTGGTTTATTTCTCCTAGCAATCCCTCTCCAGTTGCAAGCCGCAGAGCAAACCTAAGGCAGTCTCCTCCTCCAGCACAGAGAGGACACCAATGTCTAATCCTGAGGACTCCCCATGGCTCCTCAGAAAAGCCCCCACAAACACACACCACACACACACACACACACACACACAAACCACAAAACCACACACACACACACACACACACACAAACCACAAAACCACACACACACACACACACACACACAAACCACAAAACCACACACACACACACACACACACACAAACCACAAAACCACACACACACACACACACACACACACACACACACACACACACACACAAGATTCAGCAGCTTCAAAACCCCCAAACCCTATTACAACAACTGCTCAGGCCCTTGGGTGCCTTTCTCTCCTCAATTGAGTCTCATCCTCTGGTGTGGTCCATACACTTACTGGCTGTTTTCTCACACACACTTACTGAGCGGTCAAGGACATGGCTGCACTTAGATATAGCTCCAGACACAACTTCTGAGGGTCTTCAGTCTGTCCCTGGGTGGAATCCCCAGCCAGAGTTCTGAGGGGTCCTCAGGCCAGCAATGCCCAGTCACATGTCTCAGTGCTAATGACACTCAGAGCCTCAAACCTGAGTCTGAATTTTACCTATGAGAGGTCTGATTTCCACCTTGGCTGTCTCTAGCCTCAGGCTCTCCCACACACTCCACACAGTCTTAGCCTGGATTCCCAACTGCTCCCCAAGGCCCATGCTCCTGTGGGTCTGGCACTTCCTCCCTGAGTCCCTACCAACCCCCTTCTCCCAACACTGTCCCCTCACTGGCATCCCCATGAAGGCTCTGGAAGTCAGGGACACAATGTCCCCAGTGCCTGGACACAGGAGGCACTCAGGGTCTGTTGAGTGATGATGCTGCCCAGTGGGCTGAGGCAAAGGTCATCTAAGCGGCCAGGGGATAGAGCGCTCCTTTAATCCCAGGCAGAGGCAGGAGGATCTCTCTGTGTTCCAGGATAGCCAGGGGGAAAATAATCCTCTAGATGCACATACACACATATAACAGGTCTTTCTTTGGACCAACAGCTCCCAATAATGACACAGACTTCTTATTAAATATGAAAGCTTGGCCTTAGCTGAGACTTGCTCGCAACTAGCTCTTAAACTAGCCAAGTGGCTTGTTACCTCTCCTCAGTGCCATACATCTAACTTCCTCTGTATGTGGCTGGAGAATCTCCTGTACTCCTGATTCTTTCCCAGAGTTCCCATCTCTCCCTGGAAGTCCCGCCTACCCTCTCCCTGCCTAGCTAATGGTTGGTCAGCACTTTATTAAACCAATCAGAAGGTGCCTTGGGTAGGTGAGGTAAAATGGAGACACAGATTCACAGATTATCCCATGTCCCTGTACCGGCTGACCTAGCCTTGGAAGCCTGCACTTGCAGGAAGGGAGCAGAGTCTAGTTTCTGTTTCCTTCTTTGTGACAATGAACTGAGGATGAACCCAGGCTTCTGGCACTCTCTAGCTGGCACTTTATCCTACACTGTGGGCACCTTGGTTTCAGTTTCCAATCTGACAGTCACAGCCCAGTGTGAGGATGTAAGGCCAGTGACCAGGCCAGGCTCAGCTACCCTCTCCGCCCCTTTCTCTGCCACACTGTGTCCCCACCTGCCAGGACAGCCTGGCAAGGAATCAAGCATGAGAAAACATGATGGCATGTTACAAAAATGCCACACACCCTTGCTCTCAGGCACATATTGCCCCTCCCCCATTCTCCTGGCAAAGGTATTGCCTGCTGGAATACTGTCAGCATGCTCACCCAAAATAAAAAAAACAAGCTGGGCCGTGGTGGCACACACCTTAATTTAATCCCAGCACTCAGAAGGCAGAGGCAGGTGGATCTCAGTGAGTTCAAGGCCAGCCTGGTCTACAACAAACCTGTGAGCAGGGACTCCTCTGAGGAGCCACACCAGCACCCTGAGGCTTCCTCCACACCGAAGCCAGGAAAACCTGAACCATAGGACACAGCTGCACAGGGTTCAAATGCTGACTATGTAACTGGGTGAGCTCCCTCTTACCAATGTGGCCACATTGACTGAATCTCCATTTTCTGGTTTTTAATTTCTCTTTAAACATCTTTTTAATTATATATATGTTAATATTTACGTATTTATTTATTGGTTTTTTGAGACAGGGTTTCTGTGTACACAGCCCACCTGCCTCTCTCTGCCTCCCAGGGGCGCTAGGATTAAAGGTGTGCACCACCACCTCTAGGCTTAAAATTGTTCATTTCTATTCTATGAATGTTTTGTCTGCATGTATGTCTGTTTGTCACATGTGTGCCTGGTTGGTCCCTGTGGAGATCAGTAGAGGAGCCACCAGTGGCTGTAAGCCACTTTGTAGGTTCTGGGAATCGAACCTGGGTCCTCTGCAAAAGCAGCCAGTGCTATTAACTGCTGAGCTCTCTCCATTCCCTCTGCTTTCCACTTGCAATTTGGTTCTTTTTAATTGGGTTATTGAGGATGGGTGGCAGGACCTGGCTTGGGGCACAGGCTGTGATACTTCCTGGTCACACCTATACTCTGGACACCCACCCACCCCCACCTCCCAAGTATGCTGGGACAAGACTTTCTTACTCGGGGTCCCTCTCTCAACAGTGGCTGCTCATTACTAGGAAAGGTCTCACCAAGAACCGAAACCAAAACTTGCTTTTCCTTTACAGTGGTCAGCACCTGTGGCAGGAACCTGAACAGCCTGCTCTGAGGAGAACACAAGTTCTCAGGAAAGCTCTCTGCCAGTAGTGCCCACTAGAGAAGGAAGGGACCCTACCCCATCCTGGAGTCCCACGGTCCCCTCCCCACCTCACCTTGCACGGGGGTTGCAGGAGGCAGTTTCTGTCCACACTCGCTACAGAACTTGGGTGCGTTCTCTTGGGACACATGCTGGCACCGCGGACACTCCATGCTGTTATCCGCAGCCCTGCAGGAAAGAGAGGCTAGCCGGCAGCACAATATAAACTTCAGCCTCTGTCACGTGACCACCACACTCTTCAGTTTCATTTTCTAGGAAAGTGAAGTGATTGGGGCCTGGAAGCTTCTGGGCAATCGAAACCCAGCACCAGGCCTCCCTCTCAGGACTCTAACCTGGCTCCTCCTTCAAGCAGGAATTCACAAACCCCCACTGCCCCTCCCCCTCCATTGTCCACCACCATAGCTCAAGGAAGTTCAAAGGATGCCACAAAAGAAGAAAGAAAGGGGTCCTGAAGGAAAGTGGGGACCCTGGCCCACGCAAGGGTGGCAGCCACCTGCCTGCCTGTGGGACTTGTGCCGCTGGCTACCCTGCCCTGCGGCTGTGTCTTTCACCCACCCCACCCCCACCCCCAGGCAACTGAAGGTGAGGGTTGCAGGAGTTGTGGGAGGGAGACCAGTTTTTGAGAGTATGAGGCCAGCCAGCCCAGATGGCCTGGTCAGGGCTCCCAGCAAAGGGCACCAAACTAGGGTAAAGGTCATGGGTAGTCAGGGTCAAGGATAAGGTGGGAACCCTGGTTCCAGGCCACTTCAGCGTATGGAGACCAGCCCCTCAGCTCTTGGCCTAAGCTGGGAGCCTGTGGTTGAAGGGAAGAATTCCAAACACACCAATCACTCTCACCCCTTAGGGCTAGCTGCCACTGTCCGCCCTGAAGGGGCAGAGGCCAAGCCAGCGGGCTCCAACTGCATTTTTACCTTCTATGCCTACTGCTGGCCCCTCCTTCCTCCCAGCCCCTGTCCTGGCAGCCACCTTTGGCTTGATCACGGTTAAACGGTGTGCAATTTGGGCCTAGGTTGTGGAGGTGAACTTTGTGGAAGATCCCTGGCCCCACCATTCCTCCCACACACACACCTTCAGTGACCCCACCACTCAGGCCCTTCATTCCCCTGGAGAGGGATGGCCTCACCTGCACTCCTGGCTGCTTTGGGCCAGACACTAAATAGAGAGTTGAACAGCACTGGGCATAATCTCATGTGCTGTAACCCCAGTCCTTGAGAGGCAGAGACAGGACTATTCAAGCCCCGCAAGGACTACAAGGGCCCTACTTTAAAACAAAAACAAAAAACACAAGAGCAATTATGTAGCGGCCCAAGCCTTTAGTCTCAGCACTCATGAGGCAGAGGCAGGTGGGTCTCTGTGAGTTCGAGGCCAGACTGGTCTAAAGAGTGAATTCCAGGACCGGCTCCAAAGCTTCACAGAAAAACCCTGTCTTGGAAAAAAAAAAAAAAATAGCAACTATGTATGTTTTATGTTTGAGGGAATCCCACAAACTAAGAGAGGAGAAGAGTGCAGGCTGGAGGTTTTGTGGCTAACTGGAGCTACAGGCAAGAGCTAGGCTTGGGGCTAGAGCCACAGCGTGCTGAGAACGGGAGAGTGCTGAGAACTTGGGAGCTAGAAAAGATGGTATATTCTCCAAGTGTTTCCACAGGCAACCAAAGCTGTCTGCCCCAACCCTCTGTACTTTCTAGGCAAATATAAATTTCTTTTAAGAAAGTTTGGCTTCTGGCCTGGTGATGGCCATGGGCGTTGGACAGCACAGGTCTTGAATCCCAGCACTCCAGAGGCAGAAGCAGGCAGATCTCTTAACTTTGAGACCAGCCTGGTCTACAGATTGAGTTCCAAAACAGCTAGGGCTACACAGAAAAACCTTGTCTGGAAAAACAAACAAATAAAAAACAAAATGAAAGTTCTGCTTCTCAAGTGGGGCGTGACAGCACGTTCATGTAATCCCAGCACTCTGGAGGCAGGTAGATGGCTGAGTTGGAAGCCAGCTTGGCCTACATAGTGAGTTCAAGGGCTACCCAGAGAAACCTGGTCTCGAAAAACCAAAACAGGAAAAAGAAAAAAAAAAGAAAGAAAGAAAAGGAAAAGAAAGTTCTGCTTCTCAACCCATGAGTTTCTCGAAACAAACCACGCCTAAGAAGTGTATTTTGGGGCTGCAAGTTATCTCCTACCACATTCTGGGGTGGTGTACCCCTAGCCAACACACCTAAAGTCGGTTCTCCAGTGCCGTTCAGCAGACTCCAAAGCGCTTCAGCTAAGATTAGGGACAGCCTGGCAGAAGTAAGCAGGCAGCATCAACGCCTCTCCATTCAGCCAGCAAGGGGACCTTCGCCCTGAGACTAGACTAAGAAAAGCAGGTGGGTTTGGACCGGCCCACCGGCCCAAGCACCAGGGGAAAGAAGCACCGGTCCAGTGAGCGGCAGCTCCTGCGACGGGGAGCCTCCCCAGCCTCCCGTGACCCCAGCCTTGACCCGGAGGAAGATCAGCACCCCGGGCGCAGATGCCAGGCTGGTAAAAGTTCTGGCTGCGCTTGGTGAGGGCGGATTCCGGGGCGGAGCTGCAGGCCCGGGACCGCTTTGAGCTCGCTCGCGGGGTTGGGCAGGTCGAGGGCACGGTCCTTCCCGGGTGCGAGGGAGCAGAGCACTTAGCGTGGCCTGCAGCCCTAGAGCTGATGGGGTCGGAGCCGCAGGGCCGGGCTGGATCCGAAACCGAAACTTGGAACGAGGAGGAAGTGGCGGCTGGGCGCCGGCTCATCGGGACGCGTTCCGGTCCAGCACCGCCGGACCCCGCTCTCCTAGCAGAACCCGCGCCCAGCGAAGCGGCATCCGGAGCTCCGCCTGTCGCCCCCCAGGACCGTCAGCCGGTGACACCCGCGCCCTGCCCAAGGAACCTTGCATCCTGGTCCCTGGGGGCCCTTGGCGTCCCTGAGACCCGCATCCCGCACCCTAGACCTCGTGTCACCTTCCGGGACTTGCATCAGGCTCCCGGCCCCGCAGCACCTCCAGGAACCTGGAAGCGTCTGGCTCGCACCTGCAGGGCCCATGCACCCGCGCTGCCCCGCAGGCTCGCGCGCCTCTCGGTGCGGAATCACGGGGCCCGGCGCCGCCCCTTTGCCTCCCTGGCGCGGAGCCTGGCCGGAATTCCCCTCCCGGTGGCGCCAGCCTAGCTTGCCTTCCGGGAAGCCAGTGCAGCCGCGGCGCGCCCACGGCCCTCGGAATCTCACTCCAATGCAAACCAGAGTTTCCCAGAGTGCTCTTCTCCCCCAACCACAGCGGAACAGGGAGACTGGGAGAGCACTCTCTCCCAGGTGCGAGTCTCTCTCGGGACTCCCAGCACCTTGGACAGTGTCCAGGCCCTGGCCCAGCTGAGGCCACCCCCAGAAGGGCCCAAAGATACCAAAGGAGTCACACTGCTCATCCACAGGTCTCTCGGGTGCAAAGTGGAGATCACCAACCCACCACCTGGAGGCCCACCAAGGCCACTGGCAGTAGTCATTGATAGTGAATGGCCACACACAGTGAATCTCACAGTCGTGCCTGCCACCCCCAGAGCTTTAAGTACTAAAGTGTACACAGATCAAGCGTTTGTTGGGTCCTGGAACTGTGCAAATAACTGGGATAGAACACCAAAGTCTATAAGCATCCTTATTTTTAAAACATGCTGGGGAAAGAAAGGCTTCTAACTACTCTATTGAGACTTACTTGACTCCTCCATAGCTGGAGGAATGCAGCCGGCTACAAGCCCATTTGTTTGTTTGTTGAGACAGGGTTTCTCCATGTAACACCTTTGGCTGTTCTGAAACTCACTTTGTAGACCAGGATGGCCTCGAACTCACAGAGATCCACCTGCCTCTGCCTCCCAAGTGCTGGGATTAAAGGCGTGCGCCACCACCACCCAGCATACAAGCTTTTTATAGTCAAAGTTTATATACATAAGACAGAGAGTACATAGTTGAATTTATTGTATTCTGGACTCTCTGGGCACCTCTGACATGGGGAGGGGAGAGAGCCAGGATTTACAACTTCTGATACAGGGTGTTAGTTTAAAGTGTTTACAGAGTCCTGGGTTCATTTAAATTGCCCTTCCCCTGCCTGGGAGAATGCAGGGCAGAGGGTCAAAGTGGCTATCAGTCCTAATACACTCAGAAACATAAGTGCACGCTACAAGCTTACATTTTTTTTTCATATCCCTAGGCTCTTCACATCCAAACATATGACCTGGAGGCCATTCGTATACAAACTACCTCAGTAGCTGAAAGTGACCCTGTGCTTTTGATGTCTTTTTAAAATATTTTTATTTCAGGTGCATCGGTGTTTTGCCTGCATATATGTCTGTGTGAGGATGTTGGTGAAAGGTTCAGGCTAAGAGTTACAGACAGTTGTGATCTACCATGTGGGTGCTGGGAATTGAACTCAAGACCTCTGGAAGAGCAGCAAGTGCTCTTTACTTCTGAGCCATCTCTCCAGCCTCCCTTCTTATGTCTTAAGTACTGGGAATACATAGGTGACACCACACCTGGTTTTCCATGGTGCTGGGAATGGCACAAAGGGCTTCTGGACACTAGGCAAGCACCCTAGCAACTGATCTAAGCTCCCTTCCCACCCTGCAGCTTTTGAACTCTTCTAGCCACAGTGGCTTCTCTTATTTTTCATATGAATTATTTATTTTATTTGCATTGATATTTTGCCTGCATGTATGTGTGAGGTTGTTAGATCTTGGAGACAGACAGTTGTGAGCTGCCAAGTGGGTGCTGGGAATTGAACTCTGGTCCTCTGGAAGGGCAATCGGTGCTTTTAGCTACTGAGCCATCTCTCAACCCCCCCTCTTCTTATTCTCACTCTCACCTCAGCCCTTCAGGGTTATTTGTTTCTTTGTTTTTGTTTGAGTTTCCTTGCATTGAGGTCTGAGGACAGTTCTCCAGAACTGCTAGGTGGCTAACCTTGTTCCTCACTGTCTTTCTGCAGACTAGGTGGGTTACCTCCCTCCATTCTCTCTGGGGATTTGAATGAGAATGGCCTCCAAAGGCTCATTCACCTATTTGAATACTTGGTCCCGGTTGGCCGGAACTGTTTAGAAAGGAGTTGGATGTGTGGCCTTTTTTTGGAGGGGGTCCCACTGGGATCTCTGCCTCCTGCTTTCACATCAAGATGGGAGCTCTCAGCACTGCCTCTGGGCCCTGCCTCTAACATTATAAACCCAAAGCCTCTGGAACCCGTAGCCCTTCTACAAGTCTGTTCTGACAGCTATAGGAAGTACTCAATCACTCATCAGCCCCTGGAGAAGAGCCTTAGGGGAGGGTGTGGTACCCTGGACTGACCTTATGGTGCTGGAGGACTCCACTAAGCCCTTTGCTTCTCTCCCTTTTTGGAGACAATGAGAGCTAGAGTCTTTGGAAAGACTAAGAACCTGACAACTTTCTGGAAAAGGCACCCATGGCTGTCTTTTGTAATACAAAGCAGAACCCCTCCAGAAAGGCCCCGTTCCCATTGGGAACACCATGAAACCATATGAAAAGGTACCATTGCAGGTGGTTGCCTGGGGTTCTTTTCTTCGCCTGGATGAGCTCTCGGATGGCTCTCTTAGTGTTAGCGTTTCTAGAGGCTCATGTGCCATCCCAAACCCAGGAGCTGTGGCTCTAATCCTTCACAATTAGAGGCTTGCCCTCCAAGCATTCAGAGCTGGAGGCTGTTGATGTGAAGGCAGAGGCTTGCAGAGCTCCCATTCTACGCTCAGGGGCTGCGCTGACAGCTGGGGTGTCAGGACTCAGCTCTTCACCTCGGCAGCCATTGACTTCTCTCAGCCTCTGTGTCGTCACAGTCTGTCACCTTCCAACTTCTTCCTCTCATTTTGCCTCCTCAAAACTTTGAGGGTGCTGGTGCAGTCTAAATTTGGTTGCCCCTAGCACCACAGTTCAGTACTGCAGGAACAGGGCCCTCAATCCCTTAGTTTGTGGTGGCTCTCTGGGCCTTTAGCAGCCTCCATGCTGCAGCTACGAGACCCGGAAGCCCCGGTATTTTATCCACTCTTTTGGCAACCAGCACAGCCAGTTTTATTTATTAAAGCAAAAGACCACAGGCAGGCTGGGCCACCTTGAAAAAAGACCTTTTGTTACTGCCATGTTGAAACACTGGGGTGAGCATGCTGGAGAAAACCTCCTAGCTAACCCAGAAATAAGTCAAGGCAAGCAAAACTCTTTCACAACTAGAAAGGGGCACGGAACACCTATGAGGACTGTTGGTTCCCACCAGTCACTACACACCATCCAGTCCACCAGCCACTGGCCCCAAATAAGGAGCAAATCACTTGATCTAAACTACAAACACCTGAGGACAGGGACCCTCAGCTGAGAATTTGCCTCCATTAGATTGGCCTGTAGACACTGAATGAAACGGCGCAGTAAAGAAACAAAAACAGCTACTGGAACACAATGAATAAAAGACCCCGAGACAGATAGTGGGGTTCAAGCCTCAAGGTGAAGAGCAGAAAAGCAAAGCAGCTGGCCACTAGCTCTTACCTCTACCTCAGATCAAAATGTGGTGTGATCCTGTTTCCACCAATCCTCAGCGTGCAATGCAGACTGTACGGCTGCCCACCAAGCCTCAGACTGCAATCCTAGACTGCTGTGCTCTCCTCAGTGTAGCTGGAGACTAATTCTCTGTGACTGACTGACGACTGAATGCCCAGCTTCTATCTTATATACCTCTCTAGATCTGGGAGTAAAGGTGTGGGGTCCCAAGTGCTAAAATCTCCTTTGTGAGCTGTTTCTCTTTCACAATGATTCACTCTAATGTAACCCTGGGTGGCCTTGAACTCACAGAGATCCTTCTGCCTTTGTCTATTGTGACCTGAGACCTGAAAGACACATTAACTTCTTTCTCCTTTAGGCTGTTTTTGGTAATGAGCTTGATCCCAGCAACAGAAAACAAATTAAGGCTGAGACCTTTTGCAAATCACAGCCTTCTGTTAGGGCCCTGGGGGAAGTGTGTCCCTGCCCCAGACTGCCAGTCATGTCTGTAGAGTCATCTAAAGCAGGCTGCCCAGGGTCTTAAACTGTGGGACATGACCCCATATTGGGGGGTGGGTCTCAGAATTGAATGTGGAGTTGTGAAAACTTAGACAACAGTAAGGGGTTCTAAGTGCACAATCACCAAAATTTAATTGAAAACAAAAGGGTGATGAATCTGAAGTGCTTCCACCAAAGTTTCACCCAAGAGCATCTCATGACCTCACTGCAGAGGACTGGGTTCTGAACATGCGACATAAGCACTTCCTACTAGGCAGGATGTCACGCCCCACAGTGCCAACCAAAACTTCCAGAAACACTGTGGCTCAGATCCCAGGCA